CTTGGGAGGCAGAGGCAGGTGGATCTCCATGAGTAAGAGACCAGCCTGGTCTACATAGCTAGTTCCAGGAGAGCCGGAGCTGTCACACAAAGAATCCCTACCTTGAAAAAAGAGAAAAATAATGGGAGCTTCAGCTCCACGGAAGGGGTGTATGTAAGATTGCTGCTGGTCAGTGTGAGAGGCTTGGGTTTAGTGCGGAGTGGAGGCTTCTCGGTCTGCAACCTTTGGCAAATCTGCTTACCTTTGCACCTCAGCTCCTTCTCCAGCACCATGCCTATCTGCACGACACCATGCTCCCCACCATGATGATAATGGACAGAACCTCTGAAACTGTTAGAAAGCTTCAATTAAACGCTTTCTTTCATAAGAGTTGCCTTAGACAGGCATGGTGGCTAAGTCCCAGCACTCTGGAGGTAGAGACAGACAGATCTATGTTGAAGTCAAGGCCAGTCTGGTCTATAAAATGAGTTCCAGGGCAGCCAGGGCTACACAGAGAAACCCTGTCTAGCAGAACAAACAAACAAACAAACAAAACAAAACAAAAAAAAAAGTGTTGCCTTGATCATGGTGTCTCTTCACAACAACAGAACATTGATTAAGACACTTGGGTTACTGGATCCTGTTTCAAAATATAAAGACAAAACATCTAAGGCTTTAAAAGTTTGTAGCATTTAGATGGCCAACAATAAAATCACTACAACTTTATAAACTTTTGTTTGCAATTTTCCAGTTGGTTGACTTCATGGAAATGGCCTAAGCGTTCTGCTTGGGTTTCCTCATCAGTGAACTGAGTGCAGCAAGAGAAACTACTTCACTCACATGGTTGTCTTCGGGGGCAAAGGAGATATCACAGAATGTAAACAGGAAATTCCCAAACCCACAGGTCTAACCTTTACTCTCTGGGGCCCTCAAATTATGTGCAGACAGTGTAAAGATCAGAAAGATAACAAATTGCTGGCAGTGGTGATTTCTGGGTGGTATTTTTATCTTTCTTTATATTTTATGTGTTTTTCAAATAACTTAATTTTTTTTTATTTGGACAAGGTCTCATATGACTTAGGTTGGACTTAGGATATTTACTGTGTAGCCCAGGATAGTCACTGGGTAGCCTAGGATGACCACGAATGCATGTCCCCACACACCCGGTTTATGAGGTGTTGGAGATAGAAAGAGACCAGGTCTTCAAGCATGGTAGGCAAGCAGTCTACCTCAACCCCAACAGTGGAGATGGCCCTGAGTTTGATTCCCTAGGGCCCATGTAGAGCTGGGTGTGGTACAAAGCATTCATTTGTACTTCTAGGCTCTTGCTGTAAGATGGAAGGTGGAGAAAGGAGAATTCTGGGAAACTCATGGACCAGCTAGCTCCATGTACTCAGTCTAGGAGCAAACAACAGAGACTAAAATGTGGTGTAAGGATTGACTCTGGAGGGCGCACACACGCACCCATACTCCCCAGCCCCCTTTCTCTGTGGATCCCACCACCACCCTTTGTGTCCCTGGTAGAGTATGTGGCCTGGCAAGTGGAAATTTGGGCTATACAGGAAATAACATCTAGCACTGTGAACCTCCTGATAAAGGAAGGAAAATAATAGTAGAACTAATAAGACTCAGGGAGGAGAATGGGGCTCAGCCAGATAAAGTCTGTATCTATCTTAACAGGAAGGCAATAGATAATGGTCAATGCTAAATTTAGATGTAGCCACAGAAGCAATTTACACACCTAGGTGGAGTCAATCCCAAGGCCTGGAAACACAAATAGCTTTATGAGGTATACTGTAACATGAAAAATAAAAGACTGATATTAGGATTCAAACTTCAAGCTGAAGAACAGAAAAGCAAAGTACCTGGCCACTAGCTCTTACCGCTACCTCAGGCTGATCCTGCTGCCTCTCCTCAGCATGGCTGGAGACTCCTGAGACTGAATGTCTTCCTATCCTCAATGTGGCTGGAGACTAAATGCCTGATCCTGGCTTCTGAAGACTCTGCTCTTACCTTTTATACCCCTCTAGTGCTGGGGTTAAAGGCGTGTGAACCCAGGTGCTGAGATCACACACCAGGTGTGTGAGCTGTTTCTCTTTAGGACTGAATCAATTTTGTGTGGATCTGGGTGGCCTTGGACTCACACAGATCCATCTACCTCTTAATCCTGAGTCCTAGGATTAAAGGTGTGTACCACCACCTCCAGGCTTCTGTATTGTGTGGCTGACTTTGCTTTCTGAATCCTCAGGCAAGCTTTAATAAATTATAAATAATACATCACCACAGTATACCCTCAGAGGTGTGTAGCTCAGTTGTAGAGAGCCTGAGTGAACATACCATGGGAGGTGGCAGCACAATCCCATAATGCCAGCCTCAGGAAGATGGAGGCAGAAGGATTAGGGGTTAAAGGTTATTCTTGGCTACATATTCAAAGCCACCTTGAGATACATGAGATCCTGTTTAAAAACAAAACAACAAGAAGACATACAAACAAAAAACCAAACACAAGTGTGTCTGGATTAAATATGGGCATGCTGGTACTGATCTGGAATCCCAGAACTCTGAAATGAGAGGCAGGAGGATCAGGAGTTCAAGGCCATCCTACATTACACAGGACTGTCTCGAAATAAAAATAAGTTGATAAAGGGCCTGGCGTGGTGGGAAATACCTTTAATACCAGTACTTGGGAGGCAGAAGCAGGCTAATTATTCTGAGTTTGAGGCCAGCCAGGGTTATGTGGTAAGACCCTGTCCCAAATAAAAATTTAAAAGTAAGCATGGTTGTCAGGATGATTCAGCAGGTAAAGTAAGTGCTTGGTGTGGAGCCTAATGACTGGAATCGACCATGTGAGGAAAACTGAGTCCTGGGATTGTCCTCTGACTGCCACACAGACAGACAGACAAACAGACAGACGGGGTAGGGGACAGATGGAGTAACATAAACTAAAAGACATATCCCAGGATATGGAGAGTTTTCTAAATCTCTTCCCATGCTTTTTAAATTTTATTGTTTTTGGTGGGAGAGGGTATGCTACAATCAGTGTACATGTGGAGGTTTGAGGACAGCTTGCTAGAGTTTGGCCCTCGCCTTCCAGCATGTGTGTCCTGAGGATCAAACTCAAGGCAAGTGTGGTGGCAATGGTGTCACCTTGGGGCCTCCTGTTTTGTTTGTTTTGGGCCTGAGTATATGATGTAGACATTGAAAAAACATTCTAAGCCAGGTAGTGGTGGCATACTACCTTTAATTCAGGCAATGTGGGAGGCAGAGGAAGGAGGATCTCTGTGAGTTCCAGGCCAGCTTGGTGCCCAGAGAGAGAGAGTTCCAAGACAGCCACGGCTACACAGAGAAGCCATGTTTCAAAAAATAAGACAAAACTAATTTGTGTAGGCCCTGAAAGTTAATAACAGCAAAAAGTAAAGGCTCACCATGTAGCCCAGGCTGCCCTTGAATTTGCCTCCCCCCCCCCCCATCCTAGGATCACAGGCTGCGCTCCCATGACTGACTTCTTTGTTACGAATCATAGGCAAATTTATCTGGCCTATAATTCTGTCTTCTGGAAAACCAAATTCACATACAGGGTGGCTCTGAAGATGAAGTGAGGTAATATACACACAGCAAATGAGTCAGTCAGTGTTGGCCGACTCCTGCTGAAATTCCGCATCCGTAATTATTACCCATTATCTTTATAATGAGCCAAATGTTCTGGCAGTACTCAGGACACAGCGCACAGTAGGCATGCATGGATTAATTCAGAAGCTGAAGTTAGCTCCGTAGTAGAATGCTTGTCTACTACAAGCAAGACCCTGTGTCAAATATAACTCTAGCATAAAGAGTTGGTGAAGTTTTGTTTGTTTGTTTTGGACAAAGTCTCACCATGCAGCCTTGGCTGTCCTGGAACTCACTGAATAGAATATGCTGGCCTCACACTCAAAGATCTGCTTGCCTCTGCCTCTCAAGGGAACGTGCTGGGATTAAAGACATGCACTACCACACCTAGCTTCGGTTTTTGACAGGATCTGACTTGGTGTCTTGGTTGGTCTACAACTCCCGGATGCAGACCAGACTAGCCTTCAAGTTATAGAGGTCTTTCTGCCTCTGCTTTCCAAGGGCTAGGATTAAAGATGTGCAACACCACACCCGGCTGCACAAATGTTAAAAGATGCTGGGCGTGAGTTAGAGGATGTACAGGTCTACCATGTGAGTCCCTGGCCTAAAAAAAACAAAAATACCACCTTTAATCCCAGCACTCAAAAGCGAGGCAGGAGAATCTGTGAGTTTGAGCTCCAGTCTATATAGAGAATTCCAGAACAGCCAGGACTGCATAAAAAGACCTCGTTTCGGAGAAAAAAAAACCTTCTCATCTTCCAAGTCATCACCTATCCTCAACTGCGGTGTCAGCAGAGGCCGCGGTGCGGGCGGTCACGTAGAGCGGCGGGATGAAGGATGGGAGAGCGTGTGTGATTTAGAGGGTCTCCGGAGTCGTCATCTACCTTCAAACCATGTTGACAGCGTCTTCGGACCGGCAAGGGTTTTCGGGAGCAGAGGAGCTCACGTGAAAACCTGGGACTGCCCATGTAGTTGTGTGCAGAGGTCCCGTTTTTTCCAGCTGGGGGTCACTGCCAAAACAGGGCGGGGCCTTGGTGGTAGCCACGCCCACCTCTCTGCAGAGGCTGCTTAGCGGCCTTCACCCGTTGCACCTCCGTTTCTTCTACTGCAGCTTCGCACTGTGCACTCGAGAATCCCGGGGTGAATAAGGCGTGGCCAATTTCCAATCCCTGCCCCAAATCCTTGCAGAGGCCGCACCCCTTCCGCTCCAGTCACCTGGTCCTGCGGTACTAGCTGGAGGGTCGGCCGGAGGGGCTGGACCAGTGAGGGTGTCCCGCCTGCATCCCTGCAGAGGCCGCGCCTCTCTCAGGGCTCCTAAAGCTTCCAAGGCAGCCACAGGCTGGTGGAGCCGGGGGGCGGGGCCTGGGCGGGGCCTGGGCGGGGCGTGACGTCGCGGGGCGGCCGGCCGCCCGGGAGGCGGGGAGGTGGGGCGGCGGGGAGGCGGCGGCCCGCTCGGCCCAGGCCATCCCGCAGCTGCGGCGGTCGGTGCGCTGCAGGCAGCGCCGGGAGCCGGCTCCTAACAGCATCCCGCAGCTGCCGCCTCTGTCGCTCGGTCCCGGGGTCAGACATGGCCCTGGTGCGAGACACTGAGCCGGCGGCCGGGTCCTCCCGCTGGTTGCCCACGCACGTCCAGGTGACCGTGCTGCGGGCCAGCGGGTTGCGGGGCAAGAGCTCAGGCGCCGGCAGCACCAGCGACGCGTACACGGTGATCCAGGTGGGCCGCGAGAAGTACAGCACCTCGGTGGTGGAGAAGACGCAAGGCTGCCCGGAATGGTGCGAGGAGTGCTCGTTCGAGCTGCCGCCTGGAGCCCTGGACGGCCTGCTGCGGGCACAGGAGGCAGACGGGGCTCCTGCGCCCTGGGCCTCGGGCCCCAATGCCGCCTGCGAGCTGGTGCTCACCACCATGCACCGCTCGCTCATCGGTGTGGACAAGTTTCTGGGCCGGGCCACCGTGGCTCTGGACGAGGTCTTCCGCGCGGGCCGCGCCCAGCACACGCAGTGAGTCTGGGCGCTGGGAGCGGGTGCAGAACGGTTGAAGGCCTAACCGGGCGGGGCTGGTGGGACATCGGGACCACGACCTCGCGCTCAAGGACACAAACCGACACATTAGTTGTTGCCTCTCATTTTGGGGGCCCGTGACTGTTTCCCCAACAGCCTTGGGGGCCTGGAAGACCTGATGGAGCTGGCATAGTGACCAAGCGTTAGTACATGGCCAAGGAAAGTTCGTAATGGGCTTCTGAGGCTGTGAAGAAGTCAAGAAGGGAGATTTTAGGGCTTCGGGCCTGCTGCTTTCCTATCCTCAGAGAGGTGCCCAGCCTGTAGTGGAGTGAGGAGAAGACTGTCTCACCTTGTAGACTCAGCAAGGTGAGGTCGTTATCTTCCAGAGCAAGATTGAAGGGAGATGCCCCGACAAAACCTAGGAGTTACACAAAGCATTTGGCTCTTGAATGTATAGGGATGCCCTTCACCATCTAGACATGCTCCTTGACTCTGTGTCCAGGAGAGAATTGGGCCACCTCTTAAGAGCAGGAAGGGGACACTTGGGCCAGCTTGCTCCCAGTGAGGCAGTGGCATTGTTATGGTGTCCAGCTGTTCTCCAGGTATTTTCCTTAGAAAGAAAGGATAGGAGGGGACTTTTTGCTTTGTTTTGAGACAGGTTCTCTCTATGTAGCCCTGGCTGTTCTGGAATTTGCTTGAATTCAGAGATCCTCCTGCCTCTGCCTCCCCAATGCTTGATTCAAAGGTGTGTGCTACCAAACCAAAATCTGGCTGTAAGGATAGGATGTTTTGATCATTTATTTTGGCAGGGTTTGGTTCACAGGGGGTTCACAGCTTGGCAGGGCAGTGGTGGTACACATTTTTTAATCCTAGCACTTAAAGAGACAGAGACAGGTCAATCTCTTTGAGTTTGAGTCCAGCCTTGTCTATAAGTGAGTTCCAGGCTAGCCTTGGCTACACAGAGAAACCCTGTCTTGAAAAACAAAAACTACCAAAGACTTGGAACACCTTTTCCTGTTTGGGTCTGGAACCATCTGGAAGTTGTTCCCCTGGACTGACCACCTCTTGTGGCTTGCTGGAGCAGTTTGTTTCTAAGCCTCCTGGGTGGGGTCTGTCTGTAAGGGGATGGGTGCAGAGTGGTACCATACACAGGAGAGCTGCTGGAAAGGGTTTGTTGGTTTTGAGTAGATCATGGGAGGTTTCACTGAGAGGGATGAGCCAGGTACAGATGAAAAGGGAAGCTGGATTCACATAGAAAAAGGTCCAACCTTGAGTGATTTCCCCCCCTCCCCCCGCCCCAAACATGTCTAGGGAAGGGCTCTCCTGGCTGGTCTGCTGTGGCTGGGATGCGATAGAACCCGGCACATTCCAAGCAGAGCTCTGGCCTGACCTCATCCCCCTCCCCTGGCTTCTCTCCTCCTTCACTCATGACTTGCTGTTTGGTTGCTGGGTGTGGAGTCATGTGGCACAACTTGGTCCTTGTTTCGTTCTGTTCCTTCCAAACTCTTTTGTGTCCTTCCCCTCCTTCCTGGTCCAGGCAGACCAGGGAACTGGGCGTGGGATGGAATGGTCTCCCCTGATCTCTTAGCTTAGCTTCGTCCTCTTCCCGTTCCCATCACCCCTTTGCCATTTGGCTATTCCAACCAGGAGTAGATAGATACATGTGGCATTTGTTTTTTAGAGGAAAGGTGGACCAAAGGGGGCAGATTAAAACAAAACAAGCCAAAACAACAACAGTAACAACAGAACAAGCTTGCTGGGAGAAGTTTCCTTGATTCCCCCCCCCCTTTCTTTCCAGTTCATGCCCTTGCTTCCTTCTTGGCCTTGAATCTTGCTTAGTGGAGCTGGCCCAGCCTGCAAGTCCAGGTGGGCCTGTTTTCAGCCAAGAACAGTACTCCCGGGAGGCTTGGACGTGCTATCCCTTGATCTGAATGGGAGCTTTACTTTACTTCCAGAAGTCATCTTTTCCACAAGAATTGCCTCACACCCAGCTGGCTGCCTTTCTGCTGATGCACTGAGGGCTTATTTATGGAGCTGGAGAGGGCAGGGGGTGGGGTACATAGGGTGGGCAAAGGAAAAGTCCACAGAGTTGGCCCGATTCTTCTGGACCTCACAGCATGCTCACTGACAGAGAACCAGGGCAGCCTCCTGTTCTGCGTCCCAACGGCTTCAATGGGCACTCATGGAGGCATTTCCTGGGCCATCGTGGCCTGAGCCGCCCAGGCAGTGCGTTGATACAAAGCCCAGGTGTCAAGGCAGAGAAGATCGGGGTAACATCCTCAGTTTTTGGATGCTGGTGGAAAAGTACTCTATTCTCGTTAAGTCCAGGAGGCTGGGGTGGAGGGAGCAGGTGGTGACCCCGTTACCTAGAGAATCTGACTTGGGGAGAGCAGGCTGGCTAGGCAGGTAAACTCTTGAGTGACTCGCTTTACTAGTCTTTAAAATGGGGGTAACTTACACCTTCCCAGGGGTTGATGTGGGAGATGAACAGAGAATACAGAGGATGACCTAGTGCAGTTTCCAGGCGCGCGTGCGAGTGCGCAAGTGCGTGTGTGTGTCTATCTGTGTCTGTGTCTGTGTCTGTGTGTGTGTCTCTGTGTGTGTGTCTATGTGTCTCTGTGTGTGTCTATGTGTGTGTGTGTCTGTATCTGTCTGTGTGTCTGTCTGTGTCTGTCTCTGTGTGTGTGTCTGTGTGTGTGTGTCTATGTGTATGTGTGTCTATGTGTATGTGTGTCTCTGTGTGTGTGTGTCTCTGTGTGTGTGTGTCTGTGTGGAGTATCAGGGTTCTCAACTGTCCTTTGTAGCCCTCAGAGGCCCAAGAGCTTGAGCTGCGCCTGGGAAGCACCCATGGTCCTTAAGCCAGGCTCAGGTCACCCAGTGGCTCTGCAGCTCTCCCTGTCAGCCTTGCTTGGCACTGCCCTGCCCTGGAGGAAGACACACTGGCAGTTTTGGTCCTCTAGCCTTTTCACCACATCTCTGCAAGGGTCTTGATGATATAGACTGGTGAAATGCCATCCGGGAAGGCTTGGTGTAATTTTCGATGGCTGCTTTCACAAGGGTAGGGTTGGAGTTGCTGTGGGACCTTGCTTCCTGTGCTGTGGCTCTAGTTACCCAGGGACCCCTGAAAGTCACTTCTCTGTGAGGCATTCTTCAATGCGAGAGGCTTTACTGGAGGCTTTCGAAATACCCGAAGAGGAAATCCACCCCCACCCCCCACCCCAGAGATGGAACTTCGGTGGCTAGTGTGTGCTAGGCAAGCACATAACTGCTGAGCTGTGTTTCCAGCCGGCGGAGAGGAAGCTCTCAAAACAAAAAACATGGAGCATTTGACACTTGGTTAGAGCTACTTTCCATCTGGAGTACCATCTTCCTGCGTGACACCGGTGTTGGGGTTGTAGCTGGAACAGTTCCAAGGTGCTACACACTTCTAGCTTTTTCCACCACTTCCTCCCACCCTGGAATGCCCGGTGGGTGCCAGCTTTGCTATTCTGACTTCCAGGACCTAGATGGATAGTGGCAGTTAGTTCTCTTTGTTACCTGTGGGGTCAGATTGTTCTGGACTTCCTGCTGTGGATGTGGCTTGTACCACAGGGGAACCATCCTGAGTAACTTGAAGGAGGAAAGAGGACATGGCAAGAATGTTTGAATGAGGTTAGGGAGCCTGTCACAGAGTTTTTTTTTTGTTTGTTTGTTTTTGTTTGTTTTTGTTTTGTTTTGTTTTGGGCAGGGAGACCTGCTTTGGCCCCCTGAGAGTGTTGGTTGGTCGATACTGGGAAAGGAGAAGACAAGAAGACATAGCCTTCTCTCTGACCTGGTCCCAGCCTGGAAGCCTTCGGGACAGAAATAAATTGGGCTGGTCCTCTGGAAAAGCCACGGCTGTAGGTTTGTCAGCTGGGACCAGTTGTCTTCTCTCATCATCTAAAACTGTTTGTGACCATGACCGGGCTGCTGACGGCCCCTTGAGAGGATTGGTCAGTTCCTGCCCAGCCTGTGCTGCTCTTTTATCTTTTCAATTTTGGAGAGGGCCGGCCCAGGGAAGCTCATGGGTGTGGAGGTCTGAGGGCAGAGGTTCTTCCTGGCTGGTCACCACCATTTAAACTCCCGATTCTTCTGCGGCTGCCTCCTGAGACCTGGAGTGACTGGCATGAGCCATTGCACTTGGCCGTGGGAAGGGTCTCTGGGTTTTTTTCTTCCCACAGCCCTGCAACCTCTCTACTGGCTTCTAGGTTTTCAAGAAGCAGCCAAGGCCCACTGAGGCCCCTTGTTTAGTCCCCTGCTTGGACCCCAGGTCTGCAGTGGAACCTGGGGGCTGCTGGGGAGGGGTCATATGCAGAAGGTGTCATTAGGATGGACAGGCTTCATCTCTGAATTTGTGATCCAGTGGCCTACCGCTATTTGGGGCTGTTTGAGCAGCATCACCATCACCGGGGAGTGGGGCAGAGGAGGTGTGATTTCCTCTTCCTGGCCCAGTGGCTTCCCCTTTCCTTTGAATCTGTCCCTGGCCCTGAGTCCTGGGCCAGACCCAGGCAGTCACCAGGGGTCTGCCCCCTCCTCACTCCACTAGGTAGATAGGGACAAGGTACAAGCCAGCAGAACCACCATCCTGGTTGGCCTTGAGGCCTGGTTTTGCTTTAATTTTTTTTTTTTTTTCCCCTTTGTGACAGGGTTTCACTGTATATTTGAGGCTGACCTGGAACTTGCTATGTAGTCCAGGCTGCAGCTGGCCGCTCTTGTTATGGCAGTCACCCTGGTCCAGTGACGCTTACTTACTTTCCTTGCTGCTAAACTGCTGGTCTGGCCTTCTCCAGATGTTTCCCTCGCCCTTCCCGCCCTGTTGGGGGCAGACGACTAACACAATGATAGGAGCGGCTGTTGCTCTGTGGAAATCAGCCCCCACATTTTATTTCCCTGTACAGAGTGTGCCCTCAGGCCGGATCCTGGAAGCCCAGTACTGAAAGACTGGTCACTCCATTCTTTTTGAGCTGGCTTCCTGACACATG